AATCAGTGTTTTTGTGTTTTTTGGGTAGATACCTAGGAGTGGGATTGCTCGGTCATATGGAAGCTCCATGTTAAGCAATTTGGGGAATCTCCAAACAATTTTCCATAGTGGTTGTGCTAGTTTGCATTCCCGCCAGCAGTGCAGGAGAGTTCCTTTTTCTCCACATCCTTGCCAACATTTGTTGCTATTTGTTTGAAGATGTGCCATTCTCACTGGGGTGAGGTGGTATCTTATTGTGGTTTTAATTTGCATCTGCCTTATTAGAAGTGGTTTTGACCATTTTTTCATATGCTTGTTGGCCATCTGCATTTCCTCTTTGGAGAAGTGTCCTTGTAGCTCTTCTGCCTATTTTTTGATGGGGTTGTTTATTTTTGTTAAGTTTCATCACTTCTTTGAATATCTTTGTGATCAATCCTTTATTGCTAGTTTTGTGTGAGAAAATTTTTTCCCACTCAGTGGGTTGTCTGTTTTTGTAATGTCTCTTTTGCTATACTGAGGCTCTTTAACTTGATGTAGTCCCATCTAGTTATCCTTGCCTTCACTATCGTTGCATTTGGTGCTGTATCTTCAGACATGTTTCTGAAGTGTATGTTGTGCAGTGTTTGGCCCATCTTTGCTTCCAGGTATTTTATGGTTTCTGTTCTTATGTCTAGGTCTATAAACCACTTTCAGTTGATTTTTGTGTATGGTGTGAAGTAGTGATCTGGTTTCTTTCTTTTTTTCCCCAGCACCACTTGCTATTTCACTTTTTTGTTCCACTGTATCTTCTTTGCTCCTTTGTCAAAGATGAGCTGCCCATAAACCTGTGGGTTTATATCTGGGTTTTCTATCCGAATCTACTGGTCTGTATGTCTGTTCTTGTTCCAGTTTTGATTATTATGGCTTTGTAGGATGCCTTAAAGTTTGGGATTATAATGCCTCCATTCTCTTTCTTCTTAGTCATGAGAGTTTTGGCTTTTTGAGGTCTTGTTTTTCCATATGAATCATCAATATTTTTTTCAATTTCTTTGAAGAATGTCATTGAGACTTTCATTGGGATGACATTAAATCTGTATATCACTTTTGGTCCGATGACCATTTTGATGATAATTCTCCCAATCCATGAGCAGGGGATGTCTTTCCATTTCATGATGTCTTCTTGTATTTCTTTTAACAGTGTTTTGTAATTTTTTTTTTTGTAGAGGTCTTTTACCTCTTTTGTTAGGCTGATTCCCAGGCATTTGATTATTTTTGTTTTAATTGAAAAGGGGATTTTTAAAAAATTTTTGCTTCTTCTGATTGGTTGTTTGTATATAGGAAGGCCTCTGACTTTTGTGGGGTGGGGGTGTGTGTGTGTATCTTTTTCCTTTTGTTTGAGTATCCTCATTAGAAGTTATATGGATACCCAGTTTTTGCTTATGCTACAGTGTTTTTTTTTTTTTTAAAAATTTTTTTTTTTCTCATCATACAGAACTGGGGTATAAGCCAGAGATGTGGTGGGTGAGAGGATTCACCAAAGACAGAGTGGGGAGCAGAACAGGCAGATCTATGAAGTACACTGCTGAGGGGAGCAGCGGGTGGTCAGGAGAGGTCTGCCAGGCCATCTGGATTTCCATGTGGATTTCCTAGGGGCAGGCAGGGATTGAACTCATGCAGAAATGCTTAAGCTTCTTAGTGCAGTGCTT